ATTAACCGCCAAAGGCAATTTATTTATAATTATCGTGATAGGTTATTAATGACTCCTGATTTAACTACAATAGTTAAAAAAAAGAAAAGGAAAAAGTTAGGAACTAAAAAAAGCAACTCAGAGCCTAGTTTAATAATTGACCCCGGCGAACAAGAATATTTAAAAGCACGTTTAGTGAAAGAAATAGACCTTTTTTGGTCGGACTATTTGGAATCTTTAAATAAAATTAAGACTTTAACGGCGGTTAAAGTTTATCTGCCCCAAGACCCCCAAGAGGCTTTTTTTTGAGAAACTATTGACCTGTTTCAAAAAGGTTATCGACAATTAAACCAGAGATTAGGAAGCATTGTTTATCAGTAAAAAAATAACCTTTTCCGTCTTAACATGCCCACTTCAGCAATGATTAATACTTTTAATTTTTAATTTCTTTTTTCTGTTATTTTTTTACTGTTCATACTCTGTCTTGATAATAGAACAAACAGAAACAGATTAAAAATTATCTTAATAACTAAATAATGCTAACCAGTCCAACCTTAAAAAAATTACAACTAGAACAAAAGAAGTTAAATAATGCTATCTGAGAAAATTATCAGAAAAGAAATAATATTATCACTTATGACGAAAAAGCCGCTTTAATTAGGTGTAAAATTGCCCTTTTGGTCGAAATTGGCGAACTGGCTAATGAATTAAAAACTTTTAAGCACTGAAAAAGCCAAAAAGAGGTTAATTGAGACAAAGTTGAAGAAGAATTAATTGACTGTCTACATTTTTATTTAAGTTTTGCTATTATCTTCCAAATTGATTTTTCCGATTATAAGTTTAAAAAGTTAGTTCCCGAAACCGATTATAATGAGCTGTTACTGGCTCTTTTTTCCGAAACCGAACAGTTTATATTAGTTCTCCGGAGTAATAATAAAATAGATAAAATATCTATAAACCAAGCAAGTTTTTACCGCTGATTAATAATATTTGAAGAATTAGCCCAAAAATTAGGAATGGACGAAAAAGATATCGAAGCAGCCTATATGGCCAAGAATAAAATCAATTGAGAAAGACAACAAAAAAAATACTAAATTTATTTTACAACTGTTCGCGTCATAACTCGCATTTTGGCACTCCGAGCCTGGTGATTAATTTTTATCTCTTCTTTATTAGGAGTTAAAGGCTTTTTAGTGATTATTTGGAAGTCTCCCGCTAAACTATATCTTTTAAATGTTTGCTTAATAATTCTATCTTCTAAGGAATGATAACTAATCACTATTATTCGACCATTAATGGCGAGATATTTAAGAGCCGACTCTAAGGCTTGGGCCAGATTTTCTAATTCTTGATTAATAAATATGCGGAGAGCCTGAAACACTTTCCGAGCGGGATGTTTATGGCTTTTTTGGGAAAAACAAGCAGCAATTATGCCAACTAATTGCTGAGTGGTAGTAATTTTTTCTTTTTTTCGCCAATGGCAGATTTTCCGAGCAATAGCGCGCGCTTTTCTTTCTTCCCCATAATGGTAAAAAATGTCGGCTAGTTTTTCATAAGGATAATTGTTAATTATTTCGGCAGCGGTTAAATCATTTTTTTGGCTCATTCGCATGTCAAGTGGAGAATTGAGGCGATAACTAAATCCTCTTGTGGTTTCGGCCAGTTGGGGTGAGGACAAGCCCAAATCAAATAAAAAACCATTTACCAAATTGATATTTAATTTTCTTAAATGAACTTCTAAATTAGCAAAATTGTCATTAATTAGTGCAAATTGGGGGCGGGAAAAAAAAGGGTTATTTTTCACACTTTCAACGGATTTTTGGTCTCAATCAAAGGCAATTAATTTACCATTTTTTATTTTTTCTAATATGGCTTGGGAATGACCACCACTGCCAAAAGTGCCATCCACATAAATACCATTTTCTTGGGAGCCTAGATAATCTAAAACCTCTTCTAACATTACCGGCTGGTGTGCTTCCTTCATTTAGTATTAAATCCGTTTTTCTTCTTGCTCCAATAAACAATTAACCTTATTACTAATTATGATTACAATACTACTACCAATTATCAGCATAATCAATCTGCTCTCTGTTCATGATACTTGTTGTCTTTATTAAAATTAGACTCAGTTAGTTTAGACTTAACTTTTTTTATAATCATCTTCGATTCTACTGCAAAGCTCTAAATACATCCTAAAGTTACCCGCAAGTTGTTTTTTGTCCATGATAACAAAAGTTTTATAAATAAATTTGGAGAGGGGTTTTTTCCTTCTGTAAGTCGGAACGGGGGTCTTTTAGTTGATTTTCGTTATTGTTTGGCTGGTTATTATTTTGGTCGTTCATATTATTTAATTCCTCCTATTTTGGTTTTAGTTATTTCTTGGAAGGTCATGCGCTTCTTTAATTCCTCAATCGTTTCTCCATCCATCAACATTAATTTTCATTTATTAAGGTTCTCGTCA